ATATTAAATTGAAAAAAAATGTTTGAATATGTTTCAATCAAACGTGACATTGGTGGATTAGAATCTAGTAGGTAAAGAATCCATGCAAGAATAGGCAAGTAAATAAATTACGGCACACTCTTAAGTCTAAGTAAATAGTTATGAATACCAGGACATGGCCCATCATCAACTTGTTGAATACCAGGACATGGCCCATCAACTTGTTGAATACCAGGACATGGCCCATCAACTTGTTGAATACCAGGACATGGCCCATCAACTTGAATACCAGGACATGGCCCATCAACTTGTTGAATACCAGGACATGGCCCATCAACTTGAATACCAGGACATGGCCCATCAACTTGTTGAATACCAGGACATGGCCCATCAACTTGTTGAATATCAGGACATGGCCCATCAACTTTTTGAATACCAGGACATGGCCCATCAACTTGTTGAATACCAGGACATGGCCCATCAACTTTTTGAATACTAGGACATGGCCCATCAACTTTTTGAATACCAGGACATGGCCCATCAACTTGTTGAATACTAGGACATGGCCTATCAACTTGTTAAATACTAGGACATGGCCCATCAACTTGTTGAATACCAGGACATGGCCCATCAACTTGTTGAATACCAGGACATTGCCAATCTACTAATTAAATACCGGTTCTACGCAGTTCACATTTTGTCTGCTAATTAATGCATAATTAATTATTAGAAATATGTGATTTGCATCCATTCACACACCCTGTCCCTTGTTTACAAGTGGGCCCATCATTATATGGAGTTAACAGAACTAAGCTCATTAATTATTTATAATCTTCCCTCGAAGAGATGCTGCCTTTAATATCCTGACGGTTTTCCTTAGGTGACCATGGGCTTGGCCTAGTTCCTTTAAGAAACAAATTCTTGGATATCTTTTACTTGTCTACATTTTAAAACAAAGCAACTTAATGGTTCTAGACCTCAGTCTGGTGCTGGTCCTAGGCTTCAGTCTATTGTGGTGCTGGTCCTAGGCTTCAGTCTATTGTGGTGCTGGTCCTAGGCTTCAGTCTATTGTGGTGCTGGTCCTGGGCCCCAGTCTATTGTGGTGCTGGGCCTCAGTCTATTGTGGTGCTGGTCCTAGGCTTCAGTCTATTGTAGTGCTGGTCCTGGGCCTCAGTCTATTGTGGTGCTGGTCCTGGGCCTCAGTCTATTGTGGTGCTGGTCCTGGGCCTCAGTCTATTGTAGTGCTGGTCCTGGGCCTCAGTCTATCGTGGTGCTGGTCCTGGGCCTCAGTCTATTGTAGTGCTGGTCCTAGGCTTCAGTCTATTGTAGTGCTGGTCCTGGGCCTCAGTCTATTGTAGTGCTGGTCCTGGGCCTCAGTCTATTGTGGTGATGGTCCTGGGCCTCAGTCTATTGTGGTGCTGGTCCTGGGCCTCAGTCTATTGTAGTGCTGGTCCTAGGCTTCAGTCTATTGTAGTGCTGGTCCTGGGCCTCAGTCTATTGTGGTGCTGGTCCTGGGCCTCAGTCTATTGTGGTGCTGGTCCTGGGCCTCAGTCTATTGTAGTGCTGGTCCTAGGCTTCAGTCTATTGTAGTGCTGGTCCTGGGCCTCAGTCTATTGTGGTGCTGGTCCTGGGCCTCAGTCTATTGTGGTGCTGGTCCTGGGCCTCAGTCTATTGTGGTGCTCGTCCTGGGCCTCAGTCTATTGTGGTGCTGGTCCTGGGCCTCAGTCTATTGTGGTGCTGGTCCTGGGCCTCAGTCTATTGTGGTGCTGGTCCTGGGCCTCAGTCTATTGTGGTGCTGGGCCTGGGCCTCAGTCTATTGTGGTGCTCGTCCTGGGCCTCAGTCTATTGTGGTGCTGGTCCTCAGTCTATTCTGGTGCTGGTCCTAGGCTTCAGTCTATTGTGGTGCTCGTCCTGGGCCTCAGTCTATTGTGGTGCTGGTCCTGGGCCTCAGTCTATTGTGGTGCTGGGCCTGGGCCTCAGTCTATTGTGGTGCTGGGCCTGGGCCTCAGTCTATTGTGGTGCTGGTCCTGGGCCTCAGTCTGGTGCTGGTCCTGGGCCTCAGTCTATTGTGGTGCTGGTCCTGGGCCTCAGTCTATTGTGGTGCTGGTCCTGGGCCTCAGTCTATTGTGGTGCTGGTCCTGGGCCTCAGTCTGGTGCTGGTCCTGGGCCTCAGTCTATTGTGGTGCTGGTCCTGGGCCTCAGTCTATTGTGGTGCTGGGCCTCAGTCTATTGTGGTGCTGGTCCTGGGCCTCAGTCTATTGTGGTGCTGGTCCTGGGCCTCAGTCTATTGTGGTGCTGGTCCTAGGCTTCAGTCTATTGTGGTGCTGGTCCTGGGCCTCAGTCTGGTGCTGGTCCTGGGCCTCAGTCTATTGTGGTGCTGGTCCTGGGCCTCAGTCTATTGTGGTGCTGGTCCTAGGCTTCAGTCTATTGTGGTGCTGGTCCTGGGCCTCAGTCTATTGTGGTGCTGGTCCTAGGCTTCAGTCTATTGTAGTGCTGGTCCTAGGCTTCAGTCTATTGTGGTGCTGGTCCTGGGCCTCAGTCTATTGTGGTGCTGGTCTTGGGCCTCAGTCTATTGTGGTGCTGGTCCTGGGCCTCAGTCTGGTGCTGGTCCTGGGCCTCAGTCTATTGTGGTGCTGGTCCTGGGCCTCAGTCTATTGTGGTGCTGGTCCTGGGCCTCAGTCTATTGTGGTGCTGGTCCTGGGCCTCAGTCTATTGTGGTGCTGGTCCTAGGCTTCAGTCTGGTCCTGGGCCTCAGTCTATTGTGGTGCTGGGCCTCAGTCTATTGTGGTGCTGGTCCTAGGCCTCAGTCTATTGTGGTGCTGGTCCTGAGCCTCATTCTATTGTGGTGATGGTCCTGGGCCTCAGTCTATTGTGGTGCTGGTCCTGAGCCTCATTCTATTGTGGTGATGGTCCTGGGCCTCAGTCTATTGTGGTGCTGGTCCTGGGCCTCAGTCTATTATGGTGCTGGGCCTCAGTCTATTGTGGTGCTTCACAACGTTCTCTATCAACTCCAACCTCATCAGTGCCAGTGTTTGGGTTTACTAGCAGCACGATGATGCCAAACTATTTTCTTGTTTTATTCAATTGTTGGGCCATTTTTGAATAACCCTCCCCCAACCCCCTCTCCATTAGATCAATAGAAATATTTGAAATACCCTCCCGATGTAGACCGAATTATTGATTTCAGCGCCGGCGTGTGGTTGATCTATGTGCTCACTCCATCGATTGCTGCCACCCATACAACATACACACTACACACACAACATACACGCTACACTCATCAACCTGCCACCCATACACACCCATACACACTACACACATCAACCTGCCACCCATACAACATGCACACTACACACATCAACCTGCCACCCATACAACATACACACTACACACATCAACCTACCACCCATACAACATACACAATACACACATCAACCTACCACCCATACAACATACAACATGCACACTACACACATCAACCTGTCACCCATACAACATGCACACTACACACATCAACCTACCACCCATACAACATACAACATACACACTACACACATCAACCTGTCACCCATACAACATGCACACTACACACATCAACCTGCCACCCATACAACATACACACTACACACATCAACCTACCACCCATACAACATACACACTACACATATCAACCTACCACCCATACAACATACACACTACACATATCAACCTACCACCCATACAACATGCACACTACACATATCAACCTACCACCCATACAACATACACACTACACATATCAACCTGCCACCCATACAACATACACACTACACACATCAACCTACCACCCATACAACATACAACATACACACTACACACATCAACCTGTCACCCATACAACATGCACACTACACACATCAACCTGCCACCCATACAACATACACAATACACACATCAACCTACCACCCATACAACATACACACTACACACATCAACCTACCACCCATACAACATACACACTACACATATCAACCTGCCAATCATACAACATGCACACTACACACATCAACCTACCACCCATACAACATACACACTACACATATCAACCTGCCAATCATACAACATACACACTACACATATCAACCTGCCAATCATACAACATACACACTACACACATCAACCTACCACCCATACAACATACACACTACACACATCAACCTGCCAATCATACAACATACACACTACACACATCAACCTGCCACCCATACAACATACACACTACACACATCAACCTGCCACCCATACAACATACACACTACACACATCAACCTGCCACCCATACAACATACACACTACACACATCAACCTGCCACCCATACAACATACAACATACACACATCAACCTGCCACCCATACAACATACACACTACACACATCAACCTGCCACCCATACAACATGCACACTACACACATCAACCTGCCACCCATACAACATACACACATCAACCTACCACCCATACAACATACACACTACACACATCAACCTGCCACCCATACAACATGCACACTACACACATCATTCGCGGAAACCCATACAACATACACACTACACATATCGTTCGCGGAAACCCATACAACATACAAATTACATACATTCACCTCCGACCCATACAGCATATACAATACACATCATCTGACAACTCTACCCATGTATATAAGTTTAACCACAAACTTTAGTGTAGATCTGACCATCACCACATTGATATCTACACATTATTGACTGTAAAAACATGATTGGCTGTGACAGCTTGACACTACAACCGGTGCTATGCCGACACTGTAATCGGTAATTCAAACGAGATGTAACACTACCGTTTAATTGTGCAATCATAACGATTGTTTGATGGCTGTTATAACGCTTAATTAGACGGTCATTGGCCTACAAACCATGTATGTTTTCGTGACATTCTTTCACGTGCAACCTTGTACGTTTGGCTGCCAGACCAGGAACGAATGTCTAAAACCTAAGGACGTACCCTTACCTTAAACATATCACTGAATGAAACTAGAAGCCAGTAACAGCACACATCCTTTTTATATCCTAGATGAGAGTAGCGCGCCCCTGTCAGCCAGGACGACTGGATCCACTGGCCGGCTGGCACCTAGCTGGTGGGCTCACTGCCGTCTTACAGGCACCTTGCTCACCGACTGTGACGAGGCGGCCCTCGCACGACACTTCCTCGAATCAATCGTTTCACTCAAGCATGACTGATAGTACTCACTGCGCCCGTACCTCCACGCGCTGCCGTGTTTATCTGTTGAATGCGCGCATCAACCGGCGGTTGACCGGTCCGACTGGTGCCCGCCCCCTCCACTGTCGTTAAGACCTAGCACATGTCTCATTGATTGAATGATGCCTGGGCTTAGCCAGAGGGACGGGGTTAAGAGATAGTAATCACAGGCTGGACCCTGACGCTAACACGGTAACGTCCAGTTGGTTTGGGTAGACACCTCGAGGGTTGGGATGTAAACATTAGGCTTGCTCTCTCCATGGGGAGGAGGAGGGAGTATTGGTGACTTTTCAAATCGTTAAATATCTTGTTACGACCTAAGTCATTTTCTTTGCTGCAATATTCTCAGTGGCACGATGACTGCTGTAATAGACATGATGTAATCAATGACCTGATGTAGTCACTGCTGTAATAGACATGATGTAAATCAATGACCTGATGTAGTCACTGCTGTAATAGACATGATGTAAATCAATGGCCTGATGTAGTCACTTCTGTAATAGATATGATGTAATCAATGCCCTGATGTAGTCACTTCTGTAATAGATATGATGTAAATCAATGGCCTGATGTGGTCAGTACTTGCAGTCAGTACTGTGGCCCATGTAAACGATGACCTTATCAAGTAAAGAGTGCTATAATGTCTTGTGATGGCTAGAGAACTACAAGCTTATCAAGTAAAGAGCGCTATAATGTCTTGTGATGGCTAGAGAACTACAAGCTCTAGCTAGGCGTGCTTTAAATAATTTCACTCCTTTTTACGGCTTGTAGTCACGCCAAGGTCGGCTGACGTTGTGTAGGTGTGGGCCCTTCTTCTCTCTCTCACACTGACAGCTCTCATAATGCTGTTCTAATTCATTCAACTCGTCTCTTGAGTCCAGATTTCCTCTGGGGATGGGACCATGAGACCATCATCTATCGACTGGACTAGAATTACTTTCAGCTCTAGGCATTGATTTTCCTGACCGGTAGCCCAGTGTTAGCCGTCCCTTGCACGAGCTAATCAATGCTACCCTCGTCACGTGATTTCAACTTTTTAATACTGGGATTAAACTTTTACTCAAACTATACTTCCCTGGTGTGTGTACTGGTTTGATTATTTTAGTTGCTATATGTGTGTTGTTTACAATCGTTGACATCGTTCAGATTAGCGGTTTCTGGTTGGTTAGTTTTCACGCTTCGCTAAATGTTGTTTGTTCTTTAGGTTTGTTGATGTTTGTTTCATGTCAATCCCCATCCAATGGATAGAAGTATGTTGCCATACTTAGGCTCTAAAGGCCTGTGTACCCACATGTTATATACACCCGGTTAGTGCCCTATTAGAGGAATTAACCTACCCATCAACAAATTGTAAGGCCATTTTATTCAAGTCTAGCTTTACTTAGACTAATCACTAATGTCAATGGTCGGCTTCATTTGGCCCATCCACCAACGTCTGGCTCTACTTGGCCCATCCACCAATGTCTGGCTCTACTTGGCCCATCCACCAATGTCTGGCTCCACTTGGCCCATCCACCAACGTCTGGCTCTACTTGGCCCATCCACCAACGTCTGGTCCAACCCTACCAACCTCTGGTCCAACCCTACCAACGTCTGGTCCAACCCTACCAACGTCTGGTCCAACCCTACCAACGTCTGGTCCAACCCTACCAACGTCTGGTCCAACCCTACCAACCTCTGGTCCAACCCTACCAACGTCTGGTCCAACCCTACCAACGTCTGGTCCAACCCTACCAACGTCTGGTCCAACCCTACCAACGTCTGGTCCAACCCTACCAACCTCTGGTCCAACCCTACCAACGTCTGGTCCAACCCTACCAACGTCTGGTCCAACCCTACCAACGTCTGGTCCAACCCTACCAACGCCCCCAGCTGATGGTACTCGTTCGCTCATTGCGCTTGATTCAACCCGCGTCTATCGATTCACCTTTTATTCACTTTAATTTCAAAGTTTCGATCTAAAACAACACTGGTGGGCAAACGTTGGACTGTTTTCTCAAAGTATTGACACGCGTCAATGTTTGGTCAGATTGTTATTGAACGTAGGACTGTTTGACCAACATCAGTTGAGATCTTACCATCCTGCCAGCTACAGTTAGATTGAGCCATTGCCTGTGGGGGATGTTTACCTATTTTAATGTAATTATGACTAATTGACAACCAATTTAATTTAAACCTTTAATGATCTCTAATGATCAAACGATTAAGCTTTAATTTTACCTCTTGTTTAGCCAAACGATCATCATTTATTTGAAAGTTATAAAAAATAACCCCAATATAACATAACTGCTTAATATTAAACCGTCACTATTTGAATAACGGCCACTATTGATGTAATAGACTTGACTGGCGTGTGCCTCTCTCTGCGCCCTGCTAGTCAGCTTACATTCCAGCATTACATTTGCTTAAAAACTTCGCCAAATAGCACTCCAATTGATTTTCACACGGTTTCATTTCTTTTATTTCCATGTGCATCGAGTAAAATTTTGGTCGTCCAGTGACATAAAAAGATAATTTTACCGCCCTAATGAACTGTCAGTGAGTTTACCGGTAAGTCACCTGGCGCCTTAGAACTAAAGTTTGTATTGAGTGCTCGAACCTAGCGATAATCCCATTAATTCTAACCATAGACGATCTATATAAACCAAAGACACGGCAAGCAATAGTTCTCAAAATTGAGCTCACGACATCATCACTGCATGTGGGTGTATTACTTCTTCAGCTTTTGAATATTTTTAAAGCTCTTTTCATAAATGTACATGTATTTGAATAATTTTTAAATTAATTTTTGTTATTTTAACTGCCTTGATAATGATTATATAATAATAAGCTTTAGAAATAAATAGAAACCATGAAACGTATTATCTTGTGTGTAATTATAACACAAGGAAATAGGTCTAAAGTGAAAGCCATCTTTGTCGCATCTCTATATCTAAATGACCCGGAGACAATTGACCAATGGCAATGCTACTGTAGGCGGGGGAAGCTAGGTGGGAGGTAATGTCCTGCATCCCAACACCCCAGCACCAGCTTAACACATCCGACATGACACCACACCACATCTCACACCACACCACATCTCGTATGACACCACAACACATCACATCTGACACCACACCACATCTGACACCACACCATATCTCGTATGACACCACAACACATCACATCTGACACCACACCACATCTGACACCACACCATATCTCGTATGACACAACACCACATCTCTTATGACACCACACCACATCTCATATCACACCACATCTGACACCACACCACATCTCATATCACATCACACCACATCTGACACCACACCATATCTCGTATGACACAACACCACATCTCTTATGACACCACACCACATCTCATATCACATCACACCACATCTGACACCACACCACACCTGACACCACACCACATCTGACACCACACATCACGTCTGACACCACACCACATCACGTCTCGTATGACACCACAACACATGACATCTAACACCACACCACACTACATCTGACACCACACCACATCTCATATCACACCACACCACATCTCATATGACACCACACCACATCTCATATGACACCACACCACATCTCATATGACACCACACACCACATCTGACACCACACCACATCTCATATGACACCACACCACATCTCGTCTGACACCACACCACATCTCGTATGACACCACACCACATCTCGTATGACACCACACCACATCTCGTATGACACCCAGCACCAAATCATCTCGAAAAGAAATCAATGAACCCATTTCTGCTAAGAAAGTGGAGTGGAAAAAACCAAGAAGTGAAAAAACAAACGTCTAATTAGGTTTGGCTAGATTTGCTAATTACAACGGCGTACAAATGGTCTTTAGAATAAAAAAATCCCACCTTAATGTTCAGTGATCCCGATAATCAATACAAATTAGTGGCTACTAATGAATTTTGCAAGTAGGGGGAGATAATGTATTTACACAACTTGAGACACTGCACTTTCCTAATGGTGGTTGTGTGTCGCCTGATTTTAAGGTGTAGTCAGTTGGTGGGATGGTGGTGTGTCGGCTTGTGAGGTGTAGTCGATGGTGGTGTGTCGGCTTGTGAGGTGTAGTCGATGGTGGTGTGTCGGTTCATGGGGTGTAGTCGTTGGTGGTGTGTCGGTTTATGGGGTGTAGTCGTTGGTGGTGTGTCGGTTTATGGGGTGTAGTCGTTGGTGGTGTGTCGGTTTATGGGGTGTAGTTAGTCGATATATGTAGGCTCCCATAATAAAGTGTTACGGTCTTTGTCGGTTTTTATAGTGTGGTGTTTAATTATGTGTTGTGGTTTAGCCATGTGTGTGTTTTGTTGTGTGTCGTGGTTTAGTCATGTGTGTGTTTTGTTGTGTGTCGTGGTTTAGTCATGTGGTGTTTAGGTGTGTGTTGGCTTGTGTACTGAGGTGTTTAGGTGTGTGTTGGCTTGCACAATGTCAAGTTCAGATGTGCATCGATCAGCAAACTGTTGTGTAGGTGTGTGTATTGTCGATGAACCCATCTACTTGCAATAGAAGCTCAGTGAATTTGCTATTGACGCTATGTACAGCTGTGTATGGCGGTGTACTGTAGGGGTTGAGTCAAATGTTGCAAGATGTTGTTTAATTAGAGCTGTCAAGCGTCAAGATGTTGTAAGTGTCGGAGTATTTCAAGAGTTTTTTGCGCGAGATCAGCTGGCAGGTGCACACGTGGCGGGTGTTGGGTGGTCGCTGCACTAACGAGCCTTTTCGAGTTGCCATTCAGTGAGTTGCTCGTCAGAGATGACGGTCTAGGAAAACCACTTTCAAACGTCGGGGCGGATCTGCCCATCTTTCCGGTGGAGG